TGTTTCCATTACTTTGCTGTTATAAAACTGTTGCTATCAGTAGCCTTGAGCATGTGCCATTTCATATTTTTGCCCGTAGATTCTTAGAATTGGATCGCTGAGTCAAAAGGTAAGTGCATATGTCTTTATATTCATTAAACAACAACTTCCTTCTTCCTACCTCAGCCCCTTGTAACCACGGGAATACAAAGCTTTTTAAAAAACCACAAAATGGAAACCCAAAACTGATGAGTATCTTTATTTTCATGCCTGTGTCTTTGTGCTTTTAGAATAATACCAAAGCAGCTTTTCGAGAGACAAGCTTTATTGAATTGAAGTCTATGGCTTTGTTTTAATTTTTTCCCCTCTGAATCACAAAAGTTTTGGTTCTCATAGAAATTTTGAAAATAGGGCACCTGGGTGGCTCAGTCGTTAAGCGTCTGCCTTCGGCTCAGGTCATGATCCCAGGGTCCTGGGATCGAGTCCCGCATCGGGTTCCCTGCTCAGCGGGGAGTCTGTTTCTCTCTCTCTCTCTCTCTCTCTGGCTTTCATGAATAAATAAATAAAATCTTAAAAAAAAGAAATTTGGAAAATAAAGAGATAAAAATAAGACTCAAGCATTTCCACCCTATGAAAATAATCAGAATCAAAAACACAAGAAATGAGAAGAGTTGGTGAGGATGTGGAGAAAAAGGAACCCTCGTGGGACCCTTGGTGGGAATACAAACTGGTGCAGCCACTGGTGGAAGACAGATAATATGGAGTTTCCTCAAAAAATAAAAAATAGAACTACCCTATGATCTAGTAATCACACTACTGGGTATTTACCCAAAGAATATGAAAACACCAATTTGAAAAGATATTTGCACCACTGTGTTTATTGCAGCATGATTTACCATAGCCAAGATAGGGAAGCAACCCAAGTGTCTATCCATAGATGAATGGATAAAGAAGATGTGGTACCTATAGACAATGGAGTATTACTCAGCCATAGAAAAGAATCAAATCTTGCCATTTGCAACAACATGGATGAAGCTAGAGGGCGTAATGCTAAGTGAAATAAGTCAGTCTGAAAGGACAAATACCATATGACCTCACTCCTATGGGGAATTTAAGAAACAAAACAAACACACAAAGGAAAAAAACGGACGAACAAAAAAGCAGACTCTTATAGAGAACACACTGATGGTTATCATAGGGGAGGTGGGTGGGGGAATGGGTGAAACAGGTGATGGGGATTAAGAGCACACTTATCATGAGCACAGAGTAATATAGAGAATTACTGAATCACTATATTGTGTACCTGAAACTAATATGACACTGTATGTTAATTACACTGGCATTAAAATTAAAAAGATAATCAGTTTTGCATTTTGATACTTTTCATTCATCCTTCCTCTTTTTCCTTCTCCCTCCAGAGAGCCCCACGTATGTATGTGTATTGGGTATGTGCGTAAAGCCATGCTTATACCCGGCTCTTGCTCAGTTGTGCAGTCTAATTATAAAGGTAGGATTATACTGCAGCTCTCTGCTTTTAAAAGTATTTTTATTTTTTTAAATTTTTTTAAAAGATTTCATTTATTTATTTGACAGACACAGAGAGAGCAGGAACACAAGCAGCAGGAGTGGGAGAGGGAGAAGCAGGCTTCCCGCCGAGCAGGAATCCCGATGCGGGGCTCGATCCCAGGACCCTGGGATCACGACCTGAGCCGAAGGCAGACGCTTAACGACTGAGCCACCCAGGCGCTCCTGTTACTACAATTTTAATTAAAAAAAGTTTTTTTTTTTTTAAAACTGAGCTTTAAGCAGAACGTGGGCTTGAACTCACGACCCTGAGATCAAGAGTAGCATGTTCTACGGATTGAGTCAGCCAGGCACCCCAAACTACCATTTTATTATTGGAAACTTAGGTTGTTTCTAGGTTTTTGCTCTTTGTTAGTGATCTGCGTTGTGTATAAATCTTGCCTGAGCATTTTATTTTCTTAGAGCTATTCCCTAGGAATAGCTAGATCAGAGAGTGTGCTGGATCTGAGGATTCACTGTTCTGTTTTTGGGGGTCTCATGAGCTGGAGAAAGCACCCAACTTCAGATGCTCCTCTGTATGTGTAGAGTTATTTTACCATCTAGTCATAGAAGATACCCGCTTCTGGGGCGCCTGGGTGGCTCAGTTGGTTAAGCGACTGCCTTTGGCTCAGGTCATGATCCTGGAGTCCCAGGATCGAGTCCCGCATCGGGCTCCCTGCTCAGCAGGGAGTCTGCTTCTCCCTCTGACCCTCTTCCCTCTCGTGCTCTCTATCTCTCATTCTCTCTCTCTCAAATAAATAAATAAAATCTTTAAAAAAAAAAAAAAAGAAGATACCCGCTTCTGTCACACAGAAGAAGAAATCTTTACTTACCAAACATTTGTAGCAAGCCTTTGTCAATAGACCAGGATGAACCCGAGGACGTGGTTAGATTGAGACCAGCACTAGGGCACAGTTCCTTGGTGTGCATAATTCCCCCTTTGGAAATGAACCGATTTCTGACTCCATTCCATTCTGTTATATCCCCTCATCTCTCAGCACATTCAACTGAGGCACCTTTCCAAAGGATTTATAATTTTGGTTATTTTTAATATGTTAATTGGGGTGAGTATGGCATTAGTCTCTCTCTCTCTCTTTTTTTTTTTGAGGGAGATAGAGAGCATGAGTGGTGGGAGAGGGGCAGAGGGAGAGAGAAAGAATCTTTTTTTTTTTTTTAAGAAATGAAATCGCTTGACTTTTCTTTCTTAAGATTTTTATTTATTTATTTATTTAACAGAGCTAGAGAGAGAGAGCATAAGTAGGCAGAGCGGCAGACAGAGGGAGAGGGAGAAGCAGGCTCTCCGCCGAGCAGGGAGCCCAATATGGGGCTCGATCCCAGGACCCTGGGATCATGACCTGAGCCGAAGGCAGCCGCTTAACCGACTGAGCCACCCAGGCGCCCCGAGAAAGAGAATCTTAAGCAGGGTCCAGCACAGAGCCAGACTAAGGGCTCAATCTCAGGACCCTGAGATCATGACCTGAGCTGATAGCAAGAGTCAGAGGCTTACCCGACTGAGCCACCCAGGCGCCCTGACATTAGTATCTTTGATGATGGTCCCAATGCCTCAGTCATCTACCATATTGGGAGCAAATTATTCTGTGCAAAGGATCCTTGCAGATGACGGAGGCTAACCAGTTATAGTGGTAGAGTTTGGGTACAAAAAGTTCTGATATTGAGTACATATTTTCCTGACTTGTTACTTATGATGGACCCTTCATGACAAGTTGGGTTTTCCTCTGTGCATATTGACTGGGAAAGTCCTCGAAGGCAAAAGCACTTCTCCTGGGTTTATATGGGTTATTTTATCCCCTGTGGCTCATGGGAGAGCCTTGGAAGGAAGGTCTATTTCTACCCTATGTTTGGGAGAGTAGGAAACCCATACTCCCCGAATGGGCAAGCCTTAATTAAACACCTATTCCGTGTCAGGCAGGTCCATGCTGGGCGTTCAAGAGGACAGACCCAGGCGTTGCCTGGAGGAGCTCGCTCCTGTGGGGGGACAGTGAACTCAGTGTGGGGCAGCTGGATGGCCCGATGCCTCAGGTTTTCATAGAAGGAGGCAGATAGAGATTGACCATCATGTCAAAAGGCATTTGAATCTGGCCTCTCCTAATTCTTGGTTCTTAGCTTCTTTGATCCTCCATTACTTCCTGTGACAGGGGGACATCGGGGGGTCTGAGGTTGTGATAAGATCACGTGTCTGGTGCCCTTAGCACACTGGTAAGCTGGTAAACTGGTAAGCCATGACATCGCCTTTGTTACTGTTACAATTATCTCTACTAGGGCTTAGCTGTGGAGATGGGGAGGGATCTGGGGCTCCACTCTCAGAAGTAGTTATGACTCAAAATCAACAGAAATTGTTGACTAGCTGGATAGGGCTAGTGCCAGGGACCAAGGAGAATAAACATCTCTTTGCAGTACTGAGCTGCTGTGGAATTGTACCTCCCCGCCTCACTTTGACCCTCACAGCCTTACAGCCCTGGAGCAGATGCAGATGAGATGCCCCAGGCGGGAAGGGGATGGGGTGTGGGCTTTGCTCCGACCCCTCTGCCGCCTCACCCCCTCATCCCTCACCATGCCAGCTCTGTCTTGGGGCAATCTTGGACCGCCTCAGTTTCCCTAATATGGTGGTGTGGTGGTGAGGGTGGGGTGGCCGCAGAGGGTTGATTTTGAGGGGGGTGTCAGGAGCGCCAAGTTTCCTGCATTTAGAATGTTTAAGGGGTCGGCTGGCGCAGTAGGTAGAGTGAGCGACTCTTGACTTTGGGGTTGTGGGTTCCAGCCCCATGCTGGGTATAGAAATGACTTAATAAAATAAAATCTTTTTTTTTTTTTAAAGATTTTATGTATTTATTCATTTGAGAGAGCGAGAATGAGAGAGAGCACATGAGAGGGGAGAGGGTCAGAGGGAGAAGCAGACTCCCTGCTGAGCAGGCAGCCCGATGCGGGACTCGATCCCAGGACTCCAGGATCGTGACCTGAGCCGAAGGCAGTCGTTTAACCAACTGAGCCACCCAGGCGCCCAATAAAATAAAATCTTAAAAAAAAAACAAACAAACCCAACAAGCTAAACCAAAATGTTCAAGATCAGTTCAGTTCCTCCCCCTTCCCCCCGACCCCCCAAGTCTTGTCTTCCTTTCGGACGTCGAGGTGAGCGCCGGGAGGGGGCTGCAGGTGGTACCAGCAACCGAGCACCTTTGTCGCACGCCTACTGCTGGACCGACCCGCGCTCTCCCTCCGTCGTTCTCCCCAGGTCCCCGTCCGACACATCTGGAGCCAGATTCTCCCTCCGGCCCGGCGCGCCCCCTGCCCATTCGGGGGAGCCCGCGGCGGAGGTCCGGGAGTGCCAGCCCCGCCTGCCCGCGGGGCCGGGGGCGGGGCCGGGCGGGGCCGGGCGGCGGGGAGGGGGTGCGGGGCTCCGAGACTACACCGTGGCCGGAGCAGCCGGCACCTGCAGCCGTCGGATGGGTCCAACGCCTCTGAGCCCGCCCTCAATGCTGTGGCCGCCGCTGCTCCTTCTGCTCCTGTTGCTGTTGGGACCCGGACTCGGGCCTAGCGCCGGTGAGTGAGTGAGGAGGGGGCCTCCTGAAGGAACGGGGAGCCCTGCCTTCCCGTCCCTCTGCAACCCCTCCAACTCATCAGCCTCTCCTCCCCGCTCCCGGGGCACCGGGAGCCCCCAGCGCTCCTTTTCCGCCCCTCTGATGCATTCCTTACCAGGTTTCCAGGAACTCTGTCCCCCAGCCCTACCGCCCCCCCAGGCACCCTCCAGTCACCTGTCCCTGAGGTCTAAGGTAGGGCTACGGGGGGAGGGGGAGGGGACACCTGGGAGGGGTAGATGAAGAACAGAAGGTGGCTTTCTCACCTGCCCCTGGCCATCACCCTTAGAGAGGTCTCCTCAGCACCCGACTATTTCTGGGGTGTACAGACACACCCACTCGCAGGGAAATATAGGGACACACCACAAGCAGGGAAACATGCAGGCACAGAACACCTTCAGCCTCACCTGGGCACTCAGGTGTAGGGTTCACGGACAGTTTCACACTGGACACAGGCAAAGGGACCTCTGAGGGAACACACATATGCACACATAAAGCTCAGGCAGACCAGACAGCCCGAACACACACACACACACACACACACACACACACACACACACACACACA